CCAACAAACAAAAGTCCAGGACCAGATGGCTTCACAGGTGACTTCTACCAAACATTTAAAGAAGAGTTAAGACCTATTATTTTCAAACTAATCCAAAATAGAAGAGGAAGGAAAGCTTCTAAATTTATTTTACAAGTCCAGCACTGCCTTGATACCAAAACCAAATAGACACTACAAGAAAAAGAAAACTGTGGGTCAGTATCTCTGATGAACACAGATGCAAAATCCTCAACAAAATATTAGCAAACCTAATTCAACAGTACATTAAAAAGATCATTCACCATGAACAAGTGGTTTTTATTCCTGGGATGAAAGGGGGGGTTTGATACTTGCAAATCAATCAATGTGATACATCACATCGGTAAGACAAAGTAAGAACCATATGATCACATCAGTTGATGCAGAAAAAGCATTTGCTAAAGCACGACATCCATTTATGATAAAAACTCTCACCGAAGGTTTAGAGGGAACATACCTCAACATCATAAAGGCCAAATATGAAAAACCCCGCATTCAATGGTGAGAAACAGCTTTTCCTCTGAGATCAGGAACAAGTCAAGGAAGTCCACTCCCACCACTTTAATTCAACACAGCACTGGAAGTCCTAGCCACAGTAATCAGACACAAAAAGAACTAAAAGGTATCCAAACTGAAAAGAAAGAAGTAAAACTTCTATTTGCAGATGACATGATGCTATATGTAAAAAACACTCAAGACTCCACCAAGAAACTACTAGAACTGATAACTGAGTAAAGTCACAGGATACAAGGTTAATATATAGAAATCTGTTGCATTTCTATACATTAATAATGAAGTAGCAGGAAGAAACATTAAGGAAACAAGCCCATTTTCAACTGCACCAAAAAGAGTTAAGTACCCAGGGATAAACTTAACCATGGAAGTAAAAGACTTGTAGTCTGAAAACTACGAAACTTATGAAAGAACCTGAAGATGACAAACAAGTGGAAAGATAGTCCATGTTTATGGATGGGAAGAACCAATATTGTGAAAATGTTCACACTACCCAAAGTGATCACAGATTTAATTCAGTCTCTATCAAAATACCAACACTGTCCACAGAACTACAGCAAATAATCCTAAAATTTATATGGAACCACAAAAGACCCCGAGGAGCCAAAGCAATCTTGAAAAAGAAGAATGAAGTTGGAGGCATCACAATCCCAGTTGTCAAGATACAAAACTGTAGTAATCGCAACAGTATTACACAGGCAGCAGTGATCACATGTAGATCAATAAAACAGAATACAGGCCAGATATAAACCTATTCTATGGCCAATTAATCTATGACAAAGGAAGCAAGAATATACAATCGAGTAAACACAGTCTAACTTAAACAGTGTTGGGGAAACTGGACAGCTACATTCAGAAGAATGAAACTAGATGCCTTTTTTACACTGTGCACAGAAATAAATTCAAAATGATTAAGGACCTAGATGGGAGACCTGAAACCATGAAAGTTCTAGAAGAAAATGCAGGCAATAACTTCTTGCATATCACTCATAGAAACATTTTTTAGGGGCGCCTGGGTGGCTCAGTGGGTTAAAGCCTCTGCCTTCGGCTCAGGTCAGGATCTCAGGGTCCTGAGATCCCCAGTCGGGCTCTCTGCTCTCTGCTCTCTGCTCAGAGGGGAGCCTGCTTCCTCCTCTCTCTCTGCCTGCCTCTGCCTACTTGTGATCTCTGTCCAATAAATAAATAACATCTTTAAAAAAAAAAAAGAAAGAAACATTTTTTAATATAGGTCTCCTCTGGAAAGGGAAACAAAAGCAAAATTAAACTTGGCGCTACACCCAAGTTAAAAAGTTTCTGCCAAGTAAAGGAAACCATCAACAAAACAAAGAGGCAACCTACTGAATCGGAGAAGATATTTGCGAACGATATATCTGATATAGATATATTTGTGAATTATATAAGGAACTTACACAATTCAATACCAAAAAAACCCCAGTTTCTCCAAAGAAGACACACAGGTGGCCAAGAAACACATGAAAAGATGCTCAGCATCACTCATCATCAGGGACATGCGAATCAGAACCACAGGGACCTCTCACCTCCCACCTGTCAGAACGGCTAAAATTAAACACACAAGAAATAACCAGTGTTGATGAGGATGTGGAGAAAAAGGAACCCTTGTGCAGTGTGGGTGGGAATGCAAACTGGTGATGCCCCTGTGGAAAACAGTATGGGGGTTCCTCAAAAATTAAAAATAGAATTACCTTACAATCCAGTAATCTCAGCACGGGGTATTTATGCAAAGGAAACAAAACACTAATTTGTAAAGAGATATGCACCCCCGTGGAAAGTGCAGCATTATTTACAATACCCAAACTACGGAAGCAACCCGTGTCCATCCACAGACGAATGCATGAAGGAGGTGTGGGATTCACACACAACGGAATACCACTCAGCTGTAAAAACAGAATGGGCTCTTGCCACTTGCAACAAACATGGATGGACCCAGAGGGTACAATGCTAAGTGAAGTCAGTCAGGGAGAGAAAGACAAGTATGAAGCGATCTCACTCATATGTGGAATTTCAGAAACAAACAAAGGAAAAAGAGACAATCAAAAAACCGACTCCTGGGCGCCTGGGTGGCTCAGTGGGTTAAGCCGCTGCCTTCGGCTCAGGTCATGATCTCGGGGTTCTGGGATCGAGCCCTGCATCGGGCTCTCTGCTCAGCAGGGAGCCTGCTTCCCCCTGACTCTCTGCCTACTTGTGATCTCTCTCTCTCTCTGTCAAATAAATAAATCTTAAAAAAAAAAAAATTAAGATAAAGAGAGTCTATTTATTAGAAGCAGCAAGAGAAAGGCAACTAGTTATGTATAAGGAAAGTTGAGGCTATAAGCTGAGTTTTTAGCAGGAACTTTGCCAGAAGGGAAAGGCATAATATATTCAAAGTAGTGAGAGGAAAAAAAATCTACAAGAATACTCAGCAAGGATATCATTCAGAATTGGGGGAGATATAAAGAGTTGCCCAGGCCGCCAGAAGTCAGAGGAGTATATTGCCACTGAAGTGGCCTCACATGGAATCTTAACGGAACTTCTTTAAGTAGAAAAGGCCATAACTTAAAGTAAGAAAATTATGAAAGGGAAAAGTTTAATCCAAGCATGGCATCAAAGAATGTCATCTAATTACAAAAAAAGCAAAAGAAGAACTATGAAAAGAAATACCAAAAAAAAAAAAAAACAAACCAACAACAAACCAAAAACCAGAAACAGTTTAAAAAATGGCAATTATAAGTATATACCTTTAAATATAAACAGACTAAATGTTCCAATCAAAGACATAAGTTAATGAATGGATGAAAAAAAGGTAAGACTTACCTATATGCTGCCTATGAGAGACTGACTTCAGACCTACAGACACATACAGACGTGAAGGGACAGAAAAAGATACTCCATACAAATGCAAGCAAAAAAAAAAAAGCTGATGTAGCAATATTTAAACAGACACAGGCTAACCGGGTGATGGCCGTTAGGGACGGCACTGATGTCATGAGCACTGGGTGGGACATGCAACTGCTGAATTACTAAATTCTACCTCTGAAACTGATAATATATGGTAACTAAGTTAAAACAACTTAAAAACCAGACTTTAAAGCAAAGGCTGGAACAAGAGACGACGAAGGGCACTGCTTAATGACAAAGGGATCAGTCCAAAATGAGGACAGTCAACTGCAGTATCTCTGCCCCTGACGTGGGCGCCCTGCGTACGTATCTGTAGGTGGACGTATACATATGGGGCTCTCTCTGTAGCGAAGACTGACAGACAACAGGAGACACGGACAGTAATACAGCAGCAGTAGGGGACTTCAACACCCCACTTACATCAACTAATAGATCGTCCAGGCAGAAAATCAGTAAGGAAACAGTGGCTCCGAATGACACATCTGACCAGACTTAATAGATACAGGTAGAGCATTCCATTCCCAAACAGCAGAATACACACTTTTCCAAAGAAGATATCCAGGTGGCCAGCAGACCTAGCAAAGACACTCAGCGTCGCTCATGATCAGGGAACTATGAATCAAAACCCCTAGAGACCCCTTTGCACCGGTCAGCATGGCCTATATCAAACACCAGAGGTAACAAGTGTTGGCAAGACTGTGGAGAAAAGGGAATTCTCCTTGTGCACTGCTGGTGGGAATGCAAACTGGTGCGGCCACTGTGGAAAACAGTATGGGGGGCTCCTCAGAAAGCTACAACTAGAGCGACCGCAGGATCCGGCAATTCCACTTCTGGGTATTTATTTGAAGAACGCAAAAACATTAATTCAGAAAGATAAATGCACCGCAATGTTGACCGCAGCGTCACTTCCACGGGCCAAGCTATGGGGACAGCCCCAGTGTCCGCTGACAGACGAAGGGCTGAGGGCGGCGTGCTGCACACACTCCCTCACACAGAGGAGTATTCCTCTGCGGTAATAAAGAGTCTCTTTCCCACCTGTGACAGTAGGGATGGACTGAGAGGGAACTTCGCTAAGAGAAGTCAGTCAGAAAAACACAAATACCAGATGAGTTCGCTTACTTGTGGAATCTAAAAAACACAACAAACGAACAGAACAGACACCGACTCAAAAACGCAAACACTGGTGTTGCCGGAGGGGGGTGGTGAAAGGAGAGAAGGGGATGAAGGGGTACAAATGTCCGGTTACAGAATACGTCACAGCGACGGCAAGTACAGCATAGGGACAGTCAGTGACCTTGGAGTGACTCTGTGGTGACAGATGGGAACCACACTTAACACTGCTGAGCGTTCTATAACGTCTATAAACGTCGATCACTGTGTCGTACGCCTGAAACCAATATAATATTGTATGTTGCCCCTACTTCAATTAAAAAAAACAGCATTTAAAGTGCAAACAAGGCTCCTGGCTCTGAAATTTGTGTTTCTGTTGCGGCAAGTACATCTTCAACAAAGGACCCGTGTGTGGGTGACTCCCCAAATGCAAGCCCGTGGATGTGGCCACTGGGCTCACTCACCTCTGGGAGGGAGGACTGGGCGCTGCGTGTCTGCTTGATGGCCTCCTCGTAGCGCGGAGGGTCTTTTGTCTTGGGGACTGGGCTCCCAAACAGGGAATGCTGGACGACACACGGCTGGGGTGGCGGGGGTGAGCCGGGCTGAGGCAAACAGAGGGAGGGACACGTCAGCTCCTGGCCAGGCAGGGCCCTGCCCTCAGCGTGGGGGAGCCCCAGGACCTAGGACCCGCGTGGCTGCCAGGGTGCCATCCTGTGTGGGAAGGGCCACCTCTACTGTGCTAAGACCTAAGCTGCCCCTTACAACTGCCACCACAGTAGTCTGTCTGTCCTGTCCCACGCATGCGGACAGTCCACGGTGAGAGCGCTGGGGCTTGGAATGCTTCTGGACGCCAACAAGCACGTCCTATAGCTGCTGCTCCGTGCTCACGGCATTACCTTGCTGGAGGTGGTAGGTCCGTTCTGCAGGGAGGGCAGTGGGGCACTTCTGGGCTGCAGAACGCTGGGGGGAGTCTTATTAACACAGGGCTGCTGGACCGCTGGGGCGGGTGCTCTCGGGTAGGGGAGAACGGCGCTCGATGCTGAGGCTGTGAAAACCTGTAAAGAACCGATATTTTCCATTCAGTGTGTTCTTTTCCTCTTCCGACCAAAGAAAACCATGTTTTCGGACAAGGGTCAGCAAATGTTTGCTGGAAAGGGTCATCAGGTATCCAGTTAGGGCCTGCAGGCCCCGGGGTCTCCTCTCACCTGCGGCAGCCCAGAGGCAGCCTCAACAATACAGAAATAGATGGGTGGCACTGGATTCAAGCAAAACGTTATCCACAGAGACAGGCAGGGGCTGGACGTGGTCCCAAGGCCACCGTTTGCCGACCCTGATTTTCTAGCATCAATCGTCCCTTTACTCAGTGGCCTGTGTCTGAGGGTGGTGTGGACCACACCTCCTGGGAAATCAGCATTTGCTCAGGGTAATTTTTCTCTTAAACAAAAGCTTAATTTCTCTTCTTCACCAGGATGATCTCATTTACTCCCATGGCTGTAATATTCACGATTCAGCTAATAATCCCCACAACCTCTCCTCTTTTCCAACCTTGCTCCCAAGTGCCACAGCCACATTTATAACCCTTATAAGCATAAATTTCGGACATCTCAAATTTAATATATTCCAAACTAAACTTTGCCCTTTCCTCCCACCACCTCCAGCCGCTGAGGAAAAATAATTCTTGGTTTTACCTTCATTTATTTTTAAAACTTTGCTGAATGGAGCCGTCAGTCTCCTGCGCTTTCTGCCCTCAGTGCTCACGGAGCTTCGGAATGCCTCCTGAATCAGGCCTCTGTTCTCTGTTGTCCTGATCTGGGCCCTTGCTATCGATCGCTGGAAAACTGGCACAGCCACCGTGCTGAGCCCCCTTCCCGCCCTCCGCCACAGTCACGGCCGGGACGCCCACACCTGATCGAGCCCCCGCACTCCCTGGCTCCTCGGTCCTTCACAGTAAAAAGCTCCCCTCTGGCCAGCACGAGAACCTGCCCCCGCCACCTGGCCCCCTTTCTAGCCGACCATAACGGCCACCAGGGCTGTGGCCATACTCTTTTTTCCAGTTTCTCAAACACTTCTCCAGATCCCTGCGAGGCCCCATTTAAAGTCTGAGAAGCTAACTTCTGTCGGGGTGTGGTGAGGATTCCCTCCTGTGGAACGGCTGTGTGTCTGGCCCATTATGAGCCAAAGCTTTTATTGCCTTTTACAGATGTATGGCCACAGTGGGCTTTTGCTGCTGTATTTCACAGAACTGATTTACACGTAAACAGATCTAATATACTTTGTACCGTATTCTGAAAGAGAAAAACTTAGCCTTATATTTCTGTTGTAAATATCCATGTATATTTCTCAAGCAGGAAAGTGTATTTATGTGTGTGTCTAAACATCCCTCCAAACGGGACAAGTGCTCTGGTTGGGGAGTTCCATAATAAGTGTACTCCTCTTTGGAAAAGCTGAATTTCCTTATATTTGGTACAAGAATTTCTTCCTTTAAATTGGAATTAATGACCCCTAATTCTAGTATTTGGACACTTAGTGAATAAGCCCTTATTCATCTTGTCTATACTCTGTTTTTCCCTTTCCTCTCTAAATCAAACTGTCTGGACATCTGGAACACTCACTAAGCTTATCACTAAATTAAAATGTTATTCTGAGCCCAGTAAGTAATGCGCAGCTATAACTCCTTGCTCACTGTGTTTCCCAGAGGAGATTCTGGAAGAGAACACAAATGACTACTGTTTCTGTCTATTGCTCCAGTGGTCTTAGCCCAGACAGTTCACACCCGCCCTGGGCCATGTCTATAGGTACATCTAATTATCCAAGTTCTTTTATGCTGAAGACTAAGATTCCGAGACCAAGAATTCTCAACTTTTAAAATACTAAGACCTGGGGCACCTGGGTGGCTCGGTCAGTTCAACGTACGACTCTAGATTTCAGCTCAGGTCACGATCTTAGGGTGATGAGATCAAACCCCATGCTGGGCTCCATGCTGGCCATGGAGCCTGCTTAGGATTCTCTCTTTCCCTCTTCCTCTGCCCCCTCTAAAAAATAAATTAAAAAAATAAAATAGGGGCACCTGAGTGGCTCAGTGGGTTAAGCCTCTGCCGTTGGCTCAGGTCATGATCTCAGGGTCCTGGGATCGAGCCCCGCATCGGGCTCTCTGCTCAGCAGGGAGCCTGCTTCCCCCTCTCCCTCTGCCTGCCTCTTTGCCTACTTGTGATCTCTCTCTGTCAAATAAATAAATAAAATCTTTAAAAAAATAAAATAAAATAAAAGGGTAAGACCTATTTTTGAGGCCTTTGAGAGTTTCCTGGCAAGGAGATGTGCACGTAGCTCCACCTACTGGATAGGAGGGAATTTTGGTAGCTTCTGGGGCCTTCACATCAGAACTTCTTGGTAGGAACACGTGCAGAAGTTACCGAGCCCTAGCCCAACACCGTCATTTTAAAGACGAGGAAAGTAACACTCAGAGAAAGTAAGTGAATTTTGCACAAGGCCAACCACATAGGAAGTGTGGAACCAGAACAAGCAGACCTGGGCTTCTGGCTCTTCATCTGCAGGATGGCAACTCTTACCTATACAGAGATCTTACTCAAGGTAAACCTTTCAGAAAGTATCTTTTTCATCTTCAAACATCTCTTCCCAGGGAACAGCACTTCTTCCCCCTCCAAAAAATTATTAATTTGAAAAGAAATTTATTTTAAACCCCAGAAAATCCTACATATGAGGATTAATAACACACTTTTGAAACTTTTCCTTGGAAAAGGGGCTTATAACTGTTAAGACGAGCTCTCTTTCAGTAATGAAGAACTCTCTTCCCCAAACAACTGGGTGATCCACGGCCAGAGGCCATGGCCCCTCAGGCCCGCCCAAGGAGGGGGCACATCACACAGAACAGACAGATGCTTCTCACGAGGAGACTGCTTTGCGGGCGCTTGCAGCGACAGCCTGTCACCCGTTCGCCTTCACCCACCTTTCTAACTTGCTGAGGCTGATTGAGCACATGTGGCGTGAAAGTGTCTTGCTTCTGAGGTATAGTCTGGGCTAAGCCCGAGGACAGCGTGGCCGCTGCTGTCTGAGGCTGAGTCTGGATTCCTGCTTGTGCTGGAGTCTAGGAAGCAGATGAAAAATCAATTTAATTGTCAAAATCAATCTCAGAATCAAGAGTTTAGACGTGTGGGCACCTGACTGGCTCAGCTGGAAGAGCGTGAGACTCCTGATGCCAGAGTCATGAGTTTGAGCCCCATGTTGGGCACAGAGACTACTAAAAAAAAAAAATACATATATATATATATATATATATATATATATAAATTTTAAAAAAAGAGCTTAGATGTGGAATAACGGGTCATGTGGAGATCATATCTGAAGTGAAATAAAATATTTACAGATACAAACTTCATTAACACATAGTTTTAAGCCTGAATTCTAAACCAGAGAGTGAAACACCAGACCAGTTATCTTCATGCTCTGATTGTTTCTTAAGTGGCTAAGATTTTCATTCAAAAATTTTGAGAGAAGCGAAAACAGAAATAGAAGCCTACAAGAGCTCTCCACGTACTAGGTCAGCTGTTGTAGTAACCGGAGCAGCAGCAGGGAAATCTCTTGGGCCCACCGGCCCGAACTCCTGCTTTTGAGCTGCACGCTGTGCTCCCTCTGGGGGGCCGTCAGCCACATGCCGGGGCACACACGGGCCCAGAATAAAACACAATTCTTGTTCTGAGAACATTCAACTCCACCCGAAGATTTGGTTGGGAAAAAAAAGCTCAGAAGAGCTCTATTACAGAGTAGACCTTCAATTTCACAGACACTGGAAAGGTTAAACAGGGGAATTAGAGTTTCTGCACATGCCAAGGGCCTCGGGTCATGCTTCCTAACCCTAGGGGTACAGGACCAGTCTCTTCTGCCATTAAGAGACTCTGGGGCATCAAAATTGAGGAGCACTGCCCCCATTCTGTTTACTTGTGGCCCACACATTTTGTTGAAACCTACCAAAACGCATCACATAAAAACAGCTTGAGGTCAGAACACGGGTTACACAGGCATAAAAGGAGGTTTCCTGCCTATCAGTGCCTTAGCACGTCTCTCAACCACATCCTCTCTCCTAGGTTTGTGGTCACATTCCCCTTAGATGCCCAACAAGCCTTTGGCATCTTCGCCTCACTGGTGTCTTCCAAGAACTACATTTAGGAGGCAGAATATTGGAGTGGGCGTAAAAGTGACAGCTCTGGTCAGAATTACCCAGCTCCGTCCTGGAGCAACTTGCGAAACCTCAGTTTCCCTAGCTCCAAGTGGGTGTTACCACATCTCCTGGAGGAATGGAGCGCCTGGCTGGCTCAGTCGGGAGGAGCGTGTGACTCCTGACCTCGGGATCATGAGTTCGAGTCCCACGTTGGGTATAGAGATTAGTTAGTTAGTTAAATAAATAAATAAATAAATAAATAAAAAGAATGATACAGTGCTTGATGCTGTGTCCCGCACACAGAGCGCCCAGTGACACTAGCTATTCTCATGACACTGTGACGAGTATTTAGAAATGCCTGCATGCGGGAGACTGTGTTCACTGAAGATAAAAGGTATGGAAAGTGGAAGAGCACCTCTCGTTTGTTTTTACCGTACAGAAACAATGCTAGCTATTAATGTTTTGGAATTCGATTCTATGAGGCCACCCCCTCCCCCACCCCCGCATTTCCTGGCACCCCGAAGCCTGGCGTGAAGGCATCTGGGAGAAAGCGTGAGGCAAGCTTCCGCTCTCGGCAGGCTGTAAGGCAAGGGAGTTAGAAGACACACTTCACACCTGGAGTCTGAGGCTGCCTACGGGGAGCTGCACTGAGGTGACACGGGAGCCCTGGATGGACAGCGGCAGCAGCAGCTGGGCGGTCTGTGTGGTCAGTAAAGCCTGAGGCGCAGCGACACCGGCAGGTGGCGGCTGTCCCTGCGAACTCACGTAAAACTGTGGGACGATGCTCGGCGGCTCCGCCTGGGCCACGGCGACCTCCTGCTTGATCACCACCGCCTTCTTGGCCACCAGGGCCTGGCCCGCCGCCGAGAGGGGCTGGCCGACGGGCTGGCCGGCTCCCGGGCCCGGCTGCCTGGAGCCGGAGCAGTCGCTGAGCGAGGCCTCATCCTTGACGGAGGAGCCGGCGCCGCCGAGTTTCGGATCTAACGTGGCCGCCGGACTGGCTGCGGTGCCGGGCTGCGGTTCCAGCAGCGGCTGCTGCCGCTGCCCTCGCTTTTCCACCTCGAGCTGCATTTTCAGAACTTCCACGAGCTTCTGCTCTTGTTCCAGTTTCCTCTTGAGCTCCTCGATCTGCTTCTCCTTCTCCTGCAGCCTGCGGTCCTTCTCAGCCGCGTCCAGTTCCAGACTCGACAGCGTGCTGCTGGTGGGGCTCGGGCTGTCCTCGGGGCCCGTCACTCGCAGAGGGGACGAGCACAGGAACTGCGCCGGCGACATCATGGTCATGATCTCTGTGAAGGTGTCTGCCATGTTTGTGTCCTCGGTCCCGAGACTGGACTGTTCAGAGGGGGACGGTGAGATGGGCAGAGGGGAGCTGACGGTCTCAACACGGGTGGCGGTGCTGGTGCCGGCGGGTGGCAATTCTGCCTGGAAGGAAGAGCCCGAGCTGGTCACGGGGTTGTGCAGTGTTGTGACGGGCAGTGCCACAGTGACTTCTGGGTTACTGGTGACGATGGCAGACGCGGGCACTGTCAGGACGCCACCTGCGGTGACACTGCTATTGTTCATTTCCTGGTAGGGTTTCAGGCGTTCAATGAGGTCCGGTTTGGTGCCTGACACTGGAAGACCCCTTAACTTCAGTTCTGTCTTCAGTTCCGACACCTGCAAGTACAAACAAGTCACACCTCTTCTTCTGGCCCTGCAACTTCTGATAAATCTACGGGACACTTTGATGAGAAAGGGGCCGATGTCTGTCGGCTCCCTATGACCGCACACCAGCAAGCGGGAAGGTTTCTCTTCCTAACCCACAGACACACACAGCTACAAACCCCAAGTACTGCAAAGGCCAGTGATCCAGCAAGGATTTATGTCCAAGGATTGAAAACCGGAAATCATGATGATAACCATCACATTCACTGAGTAATGACCATGTGCCAGACACTGCTGGACGTGCTTTACTCTTCCAACTCATCTTCACAGGAGGTGTGGGTATTATTATTATTACAATTCCTCATTCGCAGAGGAGACGGGGGCAGAGAGAGGCTGACTCGCCGTGGTCCGAGCTACCACGGACAACCGAAGGCCGAGCTGGGGTGGAAACCCATGCAGGCTGGCCTTGGAGATCAGATTCTGGACTGTTACATTTTTTCTGCTTCTCTCAAACTTGGAAACGAGCAGGGAAGAAAAAACCTGCCTCTGCCGTCAGAACTGGTCTGGTACCTGCACATGGTTTATGCTCAATGAATGAGAATCATTACTGGTCATTTTAACTCACTGAGCTACCCAGGCATCCCATTATTGGTTATTTTAAAAGAAACTTAGTGGACATAAACAGAAAGTGCCTCTATAGAGGTTATTTTATGTTGGTGAAGTTGAAGGTCTAGGAAAACTTACCTATACATACTAGAGAAATCTGGCAAATCATTTACATTTCTCTGGTACCTATGGGTGCACAAACTCTCCTTGGACTTCTCACCTTTAAGTCATCCAAGCTAGAAGGCAGAGGTCCCGGCTTTCTCACAGGAGCAGATGTATTCTGTCTTGGAGGGTTAGGTGTGGTACTGTTCAGAGTGGAATTCCCACTGTTGTTATTTTTGTCATTAAGTGGCCTTCAAAAAAACGAGAAAATGAGAGAGTTTATAATAAAATAATTTCTGAATTTGACATTGCTTCTACTAACAATGTGTTAGCCTGTGAAGAGAAAAAGGCCACGGTCATGGGTTGGAAGACTCAATACTTTGAAGACAGACATCAAATTAGATTGCAGGGAAAATCCCTGTCAATGTTGTTTGCTTGTTTGCTTGCTTGGTAGAAACTTAGAAGGTGATTCTCAGCTTTATATGGAAATACAAAGGACCAAGAAAGGCCACGGCATCCTTGAAGAAAAGCCAAGTCGGAAGAGTCATACCACCAGATATCAAAATTCATTACAAAGCCAGTTATTACGATGGTGCGGTGCTGGGGGCAGAACAAATGGAAGAGAAGAGAGAATCCAGAAACAGACCCTCACATATACAGCCTCTTGAGTTATCACGAAGACGGCACTGTAGGAAAAGCGTGGCCCTTAACAATAAATAGTGCTGGTCCACACTGGCTATTCATACAGAAAAATAGGGCCCTAACGGACCCCTACTTCACATCATCTCAAAAACCTAAATGTGAATTATGAAACCAATAAAGCTTTTAGAAAACTTAGGATAACATCTTCATGTCCTTTGGGTAGGCAAAGATTTCTTAAAGAGGATACAAAATGCACTAAGAAGGACACATTTAAGGGTTAAAAGTCAAGCCATGGGAAGAGATATTTGTAATATGTACTTCTGACAAGGCCTCATATCTAGAGTATACAAAGAAGTCTCAAAAGCACTAAAAAAAAGACAAAACCCAATGGGAAAATGGGAAAATCTTGAACAAGTGTACCACAAGAAAGGATACCCAGTGGTCAATAAACGTGTGGACAGGGCTTAGCCTCAAAAGACAGGAGGACGATCAAGAAAAGCACAACAGAACAGCACTGCACGCCCAGCACAAGTGCTGTACAATGACTCAGACTGTGGGTACCGAGCCCCCGGAACGTCCCGAGCTCTCCGCCGTGGCAGGTGGAAGTGTGAACTGGGAGGACCACTCTGGAGAACTGTCTTATGCTACCTGCTAAAGAAAAACCTGCGCCTCTCTTTTGACCCAGGGGCATGCCTAGAAGGACACCTGTCAAGATAGACATGTGTGAACCATGTTTATCATGGCGTTATTCACACCAGCCCCAACCGGACACGACCCAGCTGTCCACCAAGAGGACGGTGGGTGGATCGATTATAAAACACTAGACAGAGTAAAAACGAGCTGCTGCTTTCTGTGCCAGGAAGAGGCAGCTCACAAACATAGTATTGAGCAAAAGCAGCTAAACAATGTGCGCTGTAAGATGGCATTTATGTTCAAGAACAGGCAAACTAGTCTATGGGACACAAGTCAGGTAGTCACTGAGAGGGGATGCAAGGACGCCCTCCTGGGGGAACTGGGGATGTTGTTTCTTGATTTAGGGATCTACCTGGCATTGATTTTCAGTTACGATGTACAGGCCTCTCCACAACCTATACTTCATTTGAAAAGGTTATTAAAGAAATGTTGGTGCATCTGTTGTACTTTTGTACTCCTTTTCCTAAACTCCTTTCCGTATGGAAACCAGGTCCCCGTCTAACTTCTTCCCCGTATGCTACTCTTGGCAACAACGGCATTTCTCTTCGGGGTGGTTGCTATCCGTTCGAGAAAGGTCCATGTGATGCGTGATACTGAAGAGCCAATTTCATTACAGCCCCAGGTTTTACTGTTATACGAACCTTGGTGCTGAAGCAAGGAGACTCTGAATTCCTTATTCTGAACGAGGATGAGGTCCCCAGTTAGAGCAGCTTTGTCAAGAGAGTTTTAGGAAGATTGTGTTTGAAGCCATTTCTGGCCCTGTCAACAGCTAACTCTTGACATACAATCTGCCTAAATTTTGTGGCAGTTAAATATTTTAAGTATTTAAGTTTTTTGAAGTTTGGATGGAACGACAAATGTTTTATGTATCATTTTTTTCCTTTCTAAAAATTCAGTTTTAAAATCTTTTATTAGAATTATGAAAACTTTTACTGTAAATCAGAATTTCTCAACCCTATTTTCATTACTTTCGCTGCAAGGAGCTTTTTTAGATTTCATTTTTCCTAATCAACCTCCCAGTGAAATTTTAATACCACAGGGGTACTGCATAATTACCTATGAACTGTATATCTGGGCTTTCTTAACTAAAAAGTGCAAAATTCCTCCCAACCAGCTTTTGCTCTCTTGTGAACATTATCTCCTTGAGAAGGCACCATGTAAATGTGCCTTTTGATGTGTCATCAAAAAAACCTGATGATTCTATTTTGTGCTGTCTTTTTTGTTGAGATTGTCTAATACCCTACTTGTTACTACGATTAATAATTCAATGTTTACTCTGACCTTTGAAATAGTAAGTTGATCATCCCCCCAAATCGCCCCCCAAATCGACAGAGAAAGAAAAGGTGATGTGTAGGGGGGCCGGGAACCTTGCGGAATGTGATGACAGTATAGATGAGAAACCCAAAGTCCAGACACACGAAGGGACCTTCTAGAACCCTCCACCAGTGTGTGGCTATGCTGGGACCACGGCCCTGTCTCCCAGGGCTCCTGATCTTCCCAAGGTACCGGCAGTGTGTGTCATCAGATAAAATCCCACTGTATGGGTGCTATAAGACTTCCACATTGCTCTCTGTGCTGGAATTCCGGGGAAAACAAACACTGTAGTAAAAACAACGTTTCCACATCCAGGACATGGACATTACACAGAAGTGATGTTCAGTCTTTGTGTAGTGAACAAATGCAGAACGATAAGGGGTCTTTCCTCCTCATTCTTTTTGGGGGATGCTTTCCTTAGGTAGGTGGCTTGGTGGCTGCAGGGATGGGAATGTTTACGGAGGAGAGGGGAACCATGGCCTTCATGGAAAGGCGAGGAACCGAGAGAGACCAGGTCCTCGACGCCCCCAGATGTACTCTTTCCATCCACAGACCGGCCCCACACAATTTCTTTCGTTACAGAAAAGACTATTTCATAGATACCCTATGCAAAACAACCCTTTCATGGGTTTGCAGTTTAACAGGTTTCCTTGCCTGGGAGTAGGGATCAGACATTCCCGCTCTTCCTGGAGTTACTAGGAGGAGGAGGGTGAGGTCACGTGCTGAGCACGCAGCTCGGTGCATCTTAAGGAGCACAGAGATGGGAGCCAGGGTTCGCGTTCGCATCCCCGCTGCCTGCTGCCAGAGGAGGGCGGCGGCAGGGGAGAGAGCCTCCCTGGGCCTGGACAAAGCTGTAAAGCAGCGGCCGTTTGCCTCTGATACTCTTCCAATTCTCTTTGGTCTTCCCTGGTTTCCTTCCAACGTCAACATCTCACTCAGGCCTGCTTGCTCTTAAAGTAATAACATGCTACACAAATTCCTTCTTTCTTCATCTTTTAGATTTAAGTACTGTACAGTAAGGTCTGAATGACTAATAGGTCTAATCTTCCTCGAGATATCAGGATCTTCAAAGAAAAAAGTGAACTGATAATCGTTAGCATATGAGGAGATGGTTCCTAACAGAGGAGCTTTTGAGTGGGTCTTACTCCTTTCCTACTCCTAGAAGATAGGGCTCCCTGTGGAGGAATGCTTGGCATAAGTGTAGAAGACAGGAGTCAAGTTTCTACAGATCATAAACTGAGAGGCTTGATCACTGAAAACATTTTTTCTTCTAATGAAATTCTGCATCTTTTTTAAAGTTTCTTTCTGTGAGGTGAATGTAACTATCCCTTTCTCCTGAAAACTGAGGGAAACGAAAGACAAGGCCTTTGCATTTATATCTATGTTTCCCAGCAAATGCATACTGAGGATGGCTATCTAGAAATTTCTATCCGTGCATAGCTAAAGTTTGCAGTCGATGTCCTGCTATGGATTCAGTCTCGGAAGCTGGTGGAACTCACTTCCTTCCGTCCCTCCCAACTGGGCTCAGACTCTGGAAATGTGTTCCTTCTCCACAACTGTTGGTCACCAAGACCTTTAGTTGTCTTTGAAACATCTCTCATCTGTTCCTTCCTTCCCGTTATCAGCGCCCTTTCATCTTCTCACATCTACTCTGTTGTGAAATTTCTGTTTTTCCTATTTCCAGACTCCCCTCCAGGACCAGCATCAAACCGCTCTTTCTCGCACTTTGATTCCGTGACAGCCTTCTGAATCACCTACCACAGCCAGATTCAAGGCTGCCTAGCTGCGAGCTCCTCCAGACGGAGGCTCAACTCAGTTTTGTCTTCTACTTTTCTCAAAAAAGCGAATCACATTCTTTATTTGGGCTCTTTTTTTCATCAGCCAGTAACCAGACATCACCCACTCCTTCCTCTGTTCTTGCACCAAGATCATCCCCCTTGGCTTGAAAGGGCCCTTCCCTGGTTTCAGGCTCTTTCCCATATAAGTATCCCACCTTTCTCATAAAGCTTTCTCAACCACTCCAGCAACTACACTCGTCTTTTTTTTTTTTTTTTTTAACTGTTTACAACAGGTCTTACACTTGGGTGCTTTGCTCACGGCATCTACTACTACTTGGGTGAGTAACAGGCAAAAACTTCCCGGGTGGGTCACGGTGGGAATCCCCTCTAACTCGCAAGGTGGGGAAGGGCTTTCAGGGACAGAGACTGGGCTGGCCTGCTGGCCGCTCTCCTGGGTACCAGGGCACGACGGGGAAGCCCGGGCAGCAGAAGGCCCTGGGCGGAGGACGTGAGCCGGCGCCCCCCGCAGCCCCGCGGCCCCGCGCGTACTTGAGTGGCGCAGGCAGGATGGTCTGGTAGTTGTAGTGCTGCTGCTGCTGGCTCAGGATCTGCAGCTGCAGGAAGAGCTGCTGCTGCTGGAGCAGGCGCGCGTAGTTGGAGTCCATCTGCGGCTCGCTCTTCTCGCCCTTCTGGTCGGGCGGGATGTACTGGTGGTACTTCAGCTTCTTCACCCGCGGCTTGGGGTCCTTGCACTTCTTGCTGCGGTGCTTGTCGTTGGGGTTCTTGGGATGGCTTTGCTGGTTTCGGGAGAAAGAGAACAACGTTTTAGGAGAAGCTGTCACCGTGTGCCTGACGGACCCGGGAGCGAGCGGCGGAGGGCCCCGGACACCGGGGCCGCCAGCGGGGCGGCGAGTGACCGAGTGTGCCTCCAGGGCGAGGAAAACGTGGGGACGCCTCCTCTGACCAAGAAATCTGGCTCCTAAGGACTTACTTCCTCCTGCTGCCTTGTTCCCTTAGAGTAAGGGAAGGCTATGCAGCTCAGCCTTATCCATTCAAGTTCAGCCAACAGTCACTGCGGGTGTCTCATGCGGACACACTGGAAGGGCTCACGCAAAGGACTCCTAGTTAGAACAGGCTGCGGGCTCGAGCTACAAACGGGAGAAGACGAGCGATCCATCACTGTAACTGTGGACTATTTTATGGTCATTAAAATATTCTAGAGTCATTCTTGAGCGGATATGTACAAACAGAAAAAACGCTTCTAATGGAATAGAGCAGACTATGAAGTTATGTATTTCTTTTCTTTTCTTTTCTTTTTTTTTTTTTTTTATTTTTTGAAGAGGAGACGGCAGGGGCCGAGACAGAGAGAATCTTAAGCCGCTCCATGCCCAGCGTGGAGCCCCAAGAGGGGCTCGATCTTATGACCCTGAGGTCATGATCTGAGCCCAAATCGAGAGTTTGACACTTAACTGACTGAGCCACCCAGGTGCCCCTCAAGTTATGTATTTCTAAGGAAAATACACCCAAATACTGTAATCTCACAGTATGAGTTCCCTGTTATCTGCTTATTGTGCTATCAATAACTGATTTTATTCCTGGTCTTTTCAAAGTGATGACAACAATGGATGTGGTCTGGGAACCCGAGGTGGCACACTGTTATGTAATGATGAAACCGCTGACCTGGCTAATCAGGAAGGCACTACTTGCGGGAAAAGGGAGGGGACAGGCACACAGTAACCAGTAGGCCTCAGACTAAATCTGCTGTTACCTAGTCACTGGCATGTTCTCCCACAAAGTGAGGGTGGGGAACAACAGCTTTCCTCTCAGAACGCCCCCCCGCCGAACTGTGATCTGTTTCTCGTGTGTACCTGTCTCTTCCTCTCCTAGCACAGTCCCGGGACCCCTGACCAAGCCTCTGAACCTCACCTTCTTCAACAATGCCTCCGGCCCCAGAGTCAAAGCCCTCCCTACAGACACACCAGAGAAGAGGAGAGACCCAGAGAACAGGAGAGGCTGAGAACTCAGCACCCACAGGGACAGATGGGTCGGCATCCAAACGCTCTCTGTGCCATCTGTGACACACGCTTGGGAATGTGGGCAAGGGAGGAGAGCTGAGGTTATTAGCTCAGCTGCCACGTGCCACACTCGGGAATTTCTGGCTCCAGTACTAAGTGATGGAAGATGGTGAGATACACTGACTTGTGCCCTGGGGCCACAGATGCTGGGCTGCACGGACACAGAGAGGCTGGAGAAGGGAGCCTTCTCTGCAGGAGGGCCGAGGACCACGACTGTGCCAGAGTGGATGGAAGCAAGGAATCTGGGGAGGCAGAAAGAAGGCTTGGCTGCCCCTGGGGAGCCTGGATCCTTCCGAGCCTCGTTACTTCTTCCGGCCTCCCTTCTGGAAGGTGCTGGGAGGGTTGGCTAACTCTCCAGAGTCCTTTTTGCGTTCTAAACGTTTGACATCAGTGTTCTGCTATGTTTGGCAAAGCCACATCTGAAATGCTGACACTATTCTCTATCACCGTCCCTCCGCCCCCATCCGGCAGTTCTAAATACACTTAAAAAAAAAACTTTAAAAGTATACTACTATATATTAAGAATTTTGATCTTCCGTGGGGCTTGTTCTAGCTGGATTATTTGCGCCCAGTCAAATGTAGGGAACGGTGCCACCAATCTGCAGCTTATCTAGAGAACAAACCTGGCTTCGACCGGCCAAATCTCTGCTAAATCAAAAAACGCAGCTGCTTTTCTAAAGCCTTTAACCTGTCATGTAATACATCTGGACCAGCGCGGACACTGACCTTGTGTATACAGTCTGAAATTACGTTCCCATTAAAGACATCTGTTTGTGAGGCTCCCGACTCCCCAGCACTGCGCTAAGAGGCTCGATCTTACCCCACTCCCAGGGTTTCCTTCATTCTGGCAGCCTGGATGGCGGCAGAACTGGGAACTGCTGATAAAATGTATCCTAAAGCCTTTCTGCAGGGCTCTGGGAGTTTCACGGAGACCGAATGTTTTGCGGTTCTTCTGTGACTACAGAACAATAGGGCATTTGTGGAAGGTGGTGGTTTCCAAGACCGAGGCGTGATCGAGCAAGTCTGCCTGTGGTTTTGTTTTCAAGGCTTCGGACTGAAAGCCAGGCTGGCCAACGCAGACATGTGCCTTTGTGTTCCCGCAGACAAGCCGCCGGTAAAGACCTCGAACCAGCGTGTGTGCAGGGACCCACCTTTACTAGCGCTGGCCCAGGCTTTGCTGAGGACACAGTATTCGTGGGGACGACAGGTGCGGTGGACCTGGTGGGGGGCTGATCCACAGGAGGAGTTTTCAAGAATTCAGGAACTGCAGGGGACACTGAAGTAAACTGGTGGAAAAGCCAGAAAGCGAACAAGTATGTGAACTCAATGACATAAAATTAGAAAAACCAGAATTAGAAGGGAATGACCTCATTTTTTTTTTTTTAAGTCCACCGGAAAACAAAAGAAAAATATACTATTATGTCTGAGACCCAGATGGTGGAGCACCATGCTTCACCTCAGCTAGCCAGTCTTTGTCCCAATAGCAATGAAAAGCTAAGCTAAACGAGGTTCGACTGACTCCACCCTGGTAGTGTTTTCTCAGAAATATGGTCAGAACCGCCCTGTTTTGGCAGAAGAGAAGTCCAAGACTCTTGTAAAAATGATCAGAACAATACAGGACACTTGTGAGGTTCTCTTGCTGTACAGAGCGGAGTAATAATCCTGGTGAGTTCCAGTGTGATCTTTAGACTTGGTCACAGGCTCTCCCCAACACTGTCAGCACATCCTGGACCCAGGGCCTAGAGCATTTGCTAAGAAAGCCCCTGTTCCCTGGAGGCCCACTCCACATACGGGTCCTTAACTCTGCTTTACACTTTGTGTCCCTGTGTCCAAGCCTGACGAGCCCTCCCCTCCGCCATCCCCCACCCTCATTTCCCGCAACAGGAGGGCACCTGCCAAATGCATTTTCTAACAGCAACTTGATTCGCTGATGGTGCACCCTCACACCTAGAGCAAGAGGCTAATTTGTTACCGAGGCCAAATGAGCAACCCCTAAACCTCAATTTGGAGTCCCGTGTTAACAAAGGAAGCTCCCTACGGAAGGCCTTAGGGAGCCTTCCGTAGGGAGGCCTGTTGATAGATTTTATCAACAACCCAACAGCCCATCTACGCTAACAGTCTACTTTAAGCAGATTTTACATATTCACTTACTGGAAGCAGATCTTACTACTGTAACAAATCCGTTCAATGTCGCACAGTGATTAGTACATGGACTTCACTATTACCAGCCTTGTCTTAAGGAAAAATATCTCCCTTTATCACTTCCACTCCCCGCACACAACTCTCAAATTCATTACAAGAATCAAAGTCCGTTCCTTTGCTGATGTATTTGGGTTTAAGAATAGCACACTGTATTTTTCCTCCTTAAAATAAATGACCTGAGAACTCAGAGGCTATTTAGCAGCAAGAAATATGAAGCTTGGCACATACTAGTTACTCAATAAATATTTGTGTAATGGGTGAATGGAAATTCCTTGTGGCTTTACTCATGCGGGGTGAGACGCTCAAGGCCAGCTGGGACTCTTGAGTATGTGTGTGGGTGTGCAATGAACTCTGCTTGCCCATGTGGCTCTCTCCCCGAGCTTGCTTTTCCTTTCTGCCACCGATTTCAGCTTGTAAGTAATTATAATGAACAGTGTTGGCTTTTTAAAGATGGCTACACGGTAGCCCCCTCCACCACGGTTTATGTTATTTTCAGTGGCCCGTGGGCATCTGCGGCCCGGAAGCAGACGACCCTCCTCTGACATACGGTCACAAGGTCAACAGCAGCCTAAGGTTGCGTCACATGCCTACCTTATTCACCTCACTTCATCTCATCACGTAGGCACGTACCCTTTCCAATATCACCACAAGACAAAGGAGGGCGAGTATAGGACGGTAAGATTTTGAGAGTGAAAGACCACATTCACATAACTTTTATTATACTATATATTGTTAGAACTGCCCTATTTTATTATTATAGCTGTTGATCTCTTACTGTGCCTGACTTACAACGAGAACTTTATGTCAGTACATACAGGAAAAAACAGTATACACAGTGTTGGGTACTATCTGTGGTTTCCAGTATCCCCTGTGGATAAGGGGAGACTATTGTACTCAATTTCATTCAAATAGACGTAAAAGAAAGGGCCTTATCTGAGAGTCCTGACACCTGTGTTTCAGGCTGATCTCTGCCCCCAAAAGGCCCTGAGCCGGCTGCCGCCTCAGTGAACCTCTGACATGAAAAGGACAGTCAAGGCCAGCTAATCAGTGCTTTAAAGGATGTGGTTTTAGTTGTTTCCCTTTCACTTTGCACAGTTTTTGGAAGTGAGGATATTTATCTCTGGGTCAGTTTTCATACAGGGAAAAACATTCCTTGGCTGTGATATAATTGGCATATGAAGAAGAAATCGCATATTTGAATATATATATTTGCATATATGATAAATAAATACATATATTACTTATATGTGTGTGTGTGTGTGTGTGTGTGTGTGTGTGTGTATTTCTTGTAGATAAATTCTTTAAACCTGGCAAGATGTTTTACCAGTCCAGCCCCCAGGGACTGATATGATGGCAATGATGCATTTGAGAGCAGTTAGTGTTAAAAATCTGAAAAATAATCCAGAAGCATGAATGTGGTATCCATTACAATATGTATGAAAATGATTGTCCTTGAGTTCTAGACGTTTCCTAGTGAACTTCAGCCTTGACTACTGATACCCTCATCTTCTTAGCTCTTGTGGTATTTCAGTGTGACTTTGCTACCCAGAAAGCCACAGACCCCAGTGAAACACGAGAATAAGCTAGCTGAGATACAATGATTATTAGTATTACCGACTCTGAAGATAAATTCTGGTTAAAAAGGGAGAAATGTCTAAACTCTTCTTTACATTCTGCCAGTCTCTTTCACACAAGATCTTAGCCAAAAGGCCGAGAAGCGATCTGCCAGTCTCTTTCATATGCTTTAGAAATGACCCCTCAAACAACCTTACATCCTATCTTGATGTTATTAGGATCCTGGTGGCTAGAGTTAAAAAAAAAAAAAAATCTAAAGAGCAGTACTTCTGAAATGCCAGCATTCCAAAAAGGATGAAAAGAATATCCAAGCCATAAAGGATACTACACTTATTTTGTTCCAGTCAAGTGAGCAATACGTTAAAATCTTAGAAGAATGTCTTAAGTGTTTAAATTTCCACTGAGACCTAAGTTCACCTTTTGTACTTTCAAAATTTAATCTCAAAATGATTCAGAATCTTTTCTCCAAGAAAACAAAAAAGCTGCAAACTTTGCTTGGTTTTATTGGATCTGACCGCTGTTCCCGACCTGCAGGTCTCATGACTTCCAATTCTTCAACTGTCATCACGACACCATGACAAGAAATGTCAGGAAAACATTGCTGTCTAATATTTAGACATGAATATTTAGGCTTTAAAATAAAACTGAAAAAGAAAAACTGAAAAAAAAAAAAAGGAAAAAGAAAGCACTTCGAACCTTGAAGACTGACTTCTCTCTTCCAAGAAAATGCTACGGGAAAGTTCTGCTACTAAGAAAAATGTAAGTCAGAATAAACGTTTAAGCTGATTAAAATTTTATATCATATCAGGTGTCTATACTGGTTCCTTCTATAAAGATGATACACTTGTCAAGGACCAATCACTGTTCTCTGCTAAGTTCCTTTTTTATTAGATTTCTTTATGCGATCTAGAAGAGCAGAAATTAGATATTTAAAAACAAAGCTTTTTTTGTACTGTAGATTTTAAATCCAAAATAAATGTGTTTTTAATTTAGGATGCAGCAGAGATCTTAATTAAGATGGGAATATGCAAATAAGAAATGCAAAATGCAATTATTCTTTAAATATTGTTTCCATATTCCGATCCCCACACAAATAAAATGAATACTAGTACAAATGAGCTGAATACAAATAAAAAACACATGCTTTGTATATTTAATGGATGGATCTCCTATGTAAATTCTAGTTTTGTTACAGTCTATCACCTAGCACTGACCACTCTGTTTACGTAGCGCACAGCTGAACGGTTTAGGCATTTCATTTTTAGTACAGGCAGTTGAACATTAAATTAATCTTCTGGCACAACATCTGGTGGATACTGAGCTGGTACTTGATGACCTGATTAGTAGTGAGGATGTGCATGTGTCCTGCATTTAAAAAATCTATTATTTAAAAAAACCGTGGTAAAATATATTTAAGATGAAAGTTACTGTTCGGGCCATTTCAGAGTGTACAGTTCTGTGGCATTACGCGCATTCCCACTGTTCTGTGACTGTCACCAACACCCGTCTCCAGACCGTTCTCATCTTCCGAAACTGAGACTCTCTGTCCATTAAACAGTGATTCCCAATCCTGGCCTCCCACCAGCCCCTGCAACCATGCTGTACCCTCTGTCCGAGTCTGACTGGTCTGGGTAGCTCGTAATAGTGGAATCACAGTTTTTCCTTCTGTGTCTGCCTTATTTCACTTACTGTAACGTCCTCAAGGTGCACCCAAGTTGTCATGTGGGTCAGAATCTCCTTTTTTAAGGCTGACTGATATTCTATCACACGGATATACTGCATTTTGTTTAGCTTTCATTTGTCAGTGGACACGAGGGCTGCCTCGAGCTCTGGCTGTCGTGCGTCATGCTGCCCTGTACACGACCGTACAGACACTGGCTCTGGTCCCTGCTGTCAACGCTTGGAGCCATATACCCACAACAAGACTTCCTGGATCACACGGTAATTCTAGATTTAGCTTTCTGGGAGAAGTACCACACGGTTCTCTATAGTGGTTGTACCATTTCACAATCCTACCAAGAAGATAGAATGATTCCAATTTCTTCACGCCCTTATCAATGCTTGTTAATTTTGTTCTTTGGATAGTCGCCATTATAATGGTGTGAGGTGGTATCTTACTGTGGTTTGGATTTGCATTTCTCTAGTGATTCGTGCTGTTAAGCATCTTTTCATGTGGTTACTACCCATTTGTTTGTTCGTTTTTTCTTATTTTTTTTAAGGGGGGAGGGGCAGAGGGAGAGACAGAATCTTAAGCAGGCTCCACATTTGGCATGAAGGCCAACACTGGCCTCCATCCCACGACCCTAACTTGAACCAAAATCAAGAATCAGATGCTTAACTGATCCAGGTGCCCTTTGTTTATCTTTTTTCTTTCTTTTTAAAAGATTTTGAGAGAGAGACAAGGAGAATGAGCTTGAGTGTGGGGGAGGGGCAAGTCGACTCACCACTGAGCAAGGAGCCTAGTGTGGGACTTGATTCCAGGACCTCGGGCCATGACCTGAGCCAAAGG